TTTCCCTTCAGACGCGCTTGCCAATGAAACAACCGGACTTCCTTTCAAGAGCTCCTCCGTGCTCTGCGCCCATCCTCCCACCCGATGCAGTTTCACAGCGCCAGCGAACCACGCAAGCGGCAATGAGACATGGGGCTGGAAGGCCATCAGGTGACTTTTAAACCAAGCCCTATGCTCCCGCAGCAAGAGCTGCGATTCAGTTGTGCTTAAAACCACGCAAGTTACACCAAAATTACATTGCAGGACAAGTGAGGCTGCAAGATGCCACAGCCGCCAGCTTTGGAGACTCGGTGCCTGTGAAGGAGCGGCGGGTGAGCCCCTCACAAGTGCCTCCAAGTCCCTGCGACACGCAGAGGCAGCACCAAGAGCCTAGTCCAGGCACTGGTGTAACAACACACGCGGTCAAGGCTGCAGTGAACAGAACAGCACCTCACTGCCCCCTCCGTACCAGCCTTCTCACTCCAGAACTTCACACCCTAAGGAAACTGGTGGCACCAGGGAGAGACAATCATATTCCAACCACCATCCCTACAGTCTGGTTTCAGGGAAGGAAGAAAACAAAAGAAAGGAAAGGATTGCCTATGCACTCTACTGAGATCAAGGTCTATATACACAGCCAGGAAAATCCGAAGGAGAACAGCAAACAGCACTGGCATCCCAGGGCACCAGAGCGGGCACAAGGCAGGCAGGAGCCAGGGGAGCACTGGCACGTGTACGAAGTCAGACAGGAACAGGCTGCTGCAAGCATAACAGCTTCTCTTGAAGTTAAAAGCAACACATACACCCAAGCACTTTGCATCGCGTCCTGTGGTGCTCACCACGCAGGCTCCAAGCACACAAGCAGCCACCCTCTTCCCACACCGCTCAAGAACAACCACCACCACAAAAAACCCACCAACAAGAGGTCCCTGGCTTTGACTTGGAAATAAAAAAGCACAATTCACCCTTGCTTTAGAAAGGAGTTTCCCCCCCCCCGTTGCCCACATGTGGCATTTCCACCCTTCCAGCCAGGAGAGGCCATGCTCGGTCCAAAAAAACAGATCCACAGGAGTTGTGTTGTTTCTCAAACACGCTGCAACGTGTTTGAGTTGCACAATCAAGGCTGCAGATCAACCAGCCTGCCCCAGCCAGGCACTGCAGGCAGCTCCATACACATGGTGGTCGTTGGGTTTTCCTTGAAGCTGTTGTTTTTCCTCTCTGAACCAGGAGGATCAGCCCAGAACATGCAGTAGCAGTGTCGGAACTTTGTGAATGTGCACCCTCTCCAGTAGAGCCTCTTCAACCCTCCTCCAAAGCTTAGAGCCCAGAACGTGTGTTTGGAGGCAGCAGTGGAGCATGCCCAGAATCAAGCTGTCTCACAGGAATGATTGTAACAAGTACTTTACAGTACCTATTTGGTGAGAAAAGGAAGAAAAAAAAGCAGCTCTCCAGTTTCTTCACATAATAGGGATGCCAGGCTGTACACAATGCCCTGGATAAGCAGAGGCTAATGCCCAGCCTGGGGTCTAGCCTCCCTGCACCAGTTGTACTGGACAAGTCTGGCTGGCTCCTACCTCCAAAGACATGCCCCCGAGGCCAGAGGGACCAGAGCAGCAGCACATTCCTGTCCCCACACAAGCAGGGATACTCTCATCTCTCCTGAGAGGGGACAGCAGAGCAGCTGGGATGGTCTTGGTCCAGTCTCAACATTCCGTGTCACACGCGTTTTCTCCAGTATGTAATGTGAGGGTTGGAGGATGCAGGTTTAACATTTCTCTTGTACCCATTCCCCTTCATGAAGGATGAATCCGTAAACCTTTGCGAGTTCCCTCCCCAACCCCATCCCACATACTGCCGAGCATGGTTCAAACATGTCTATTTAATTAGCATGTTGGGTCCATCCTCCAGTCCCACGGGTACTCCCTTCCCTTCTGGCAGATCGGCTGGGGTTCCATGCACACCGAGGGAGCAGGTTTATCCTGGTTTGTCCAGCCGTCGTCTCCTGGGTCACAGTACATGGGGTTTATCGTATCCGGGTGAAGAGGTTGAGCACAGACACCGACTCCTGACAAGGAGAGAGAAAGCAGGTGCTAAGCTCTCCACACCTGTGCTGCGCCATTACTCCACATGCTTTTGCCTTTTTTTTAAGGAAAAACTGCTAGCCTGGTGAGGCACCTCCAGCCCCGGGCACAATGTCAGCTCACCATTCAGAGACCAACACCATATTCCCATGTTTTTTTCCCAGCTGGTAACAAGAGCACGACAGGCAAGCGTGCCATTCGCACAGCTCAGAGGGACACCTTGCAATGCCCAGTGCCAGCTTCCCGCAGCTCAACCCTTAAGATCTCTACCACTCTCCACTGCCAGATGCTCTGAAAAGCTCTCGGAGCATCTGGCACAACCCGCTTTCGGCAACGACAAGTTGTCAGCAGCAGCACCCACAGTCACGTTTCCATCCACGCTGCCATTTGAAGCAGTTCCAGAAGAAGCCGGGGGATAAGGATCCGAGGACTGAGTCAGTGCATGGCAGCATGCTAGCAGGGACAATGGTGGGCTCAGGGTGAGCACCCTGAAATGCTGCTTGTGTTCAGCAGTGCTGTAACAGCCAAGAGAAGGATGTCCTGACACACTGCCTTGGGTACGCCCAGGCAACTATTTCATCTGATGACTACAAACCCCTCGTAGCGCTGAGTTTAACCCCTGACTGCATCCAGCCTTCCATCTGTGGGATACGGTGGAGAGCAGAGGCAAGGCATCTTGGGCCGAATCTCCTCCCAGAGGCTGAGGCTCCTGCAGGACATGGCTGCAGCCAGCCACACCACCCATCCTTACCTTTGTCGAGCGGGTTTTACTGAAGACGTTCCAGAAGCGCAAGGTCTCATCTCCAGCTCCTGTAACTATGGCCTCCCCATCAGGGGACATCGCCTAAGACCAAGAGAGAGCAACCTTTAGCATCCGTTATGTTTTCAACCTCAAAAAATGTATCTTCATTGGAATGCATGAGACACTTCACTCTCTTTCCTACTTGGCTGGCGGTGAGAAACCAACCAACCACCTCTGCTTTCATGTGCCTTGTTCAGTCGCAGTAGGTACCAACTCAAGCACTTGCATCTTTCTTACACGGCTACAGAACACATGGGTGGAATTACCATAAAAAGGACTCTTGTGTTAAGAAATCCAAGCCATTTATCATTGAGGCTATTCTTCCCCAGAGCAATACAACTGGCATTTGCCAGGTCTGTTAGTCACGTACTTCACAGTCTACCTCACAGAACAGTATCGGTATGTTTCTCTTATGAACACGCCAAAAGCCCTACGTAATGGTACCAAAGCAGGCATGAGATCAATGCGGATTAACTGCACCAAGCATTTCAATGACACATTAGGAGACCCAAAAGCAAACTCTTCTCCCGCTTGCAGTCACCAATGAAAAAGCGTACAAGTCTTACGGGAACAAGAACTGATACTCGTGCTTCCTCAGAGGAGTTTTGGCAGACTTTGCTGATCATTAACAAAGCCTCACATAGCAGCAAGTCAAAGAATCCCTTGCGGAAAAGGAAGCCAGACCCAGAGCATTTTTCATTGCTCACAGGGCAGCATTCCTATCCCCACCTAGACTACAGGCAGCTTACAGCGCCACTGGCACGGCAGCTGTGGGTCTCCCCTTAGCACAAGCACAGCCAGATAAGCAGCTACCAAAGTTCTCAGAGACGTGGCCATCGCTTACCAAATATAAGACGCGGTACGAATGCCCAGTTAGCTTTGCTACTTGTGTTAACGAGGGGTACTTCCAGACGAGGATCTGGTTCTGCGAGTATCCATGGGTACTCACCTGAAAGGGGAGAGGGAAATATGCATCATGCTTCCACCACAAGGCAGTGCAGCAGCAGGACCACCAGGGAGGCGCTTACCAGCTCGTTGGCATGCTTCGACCAGGCCAGGTTGCACACTTGTGACCCAGTGTCAATGCACTGCAAGGGCTGCCCGGTGAGCGTGTTCCAGAAGCGGATGCAGCGGTCAGCCGTCCCACCGCCAGAGGCAAGCAGTCCATGCTGGTGCGGAGACCAGGCGATCGCTTTGACTGCTGCAAGATGCTCTGTGTATTGTTGGACGGGACTCAGGCTGGAGTGATTCCAGACAAGGAGCTGGCAAAGAGAAGAGACGTGATCAGACTTGCACTGCAGTCAGGCGTCCACCACACCCACAAGCCACAGTGTTGCACTGGGACTGATGTGGGCAGTTGGGCAACAAAATATTTCCCACAGCTCTACAGAAGCACATGTGTCTCCACACTGCCACCACACTCCGCTGAGGCCACAAGAAAGCCAAGAGTCCTTAAATTAAGCTCAAGAAGACAAAGACACAGTGTCACCGAATGTGAACTCAAACCTTTCTGTTGTCCTTGTGGCTGTTTTGTTCCAGAACACATTTACAAACATGCTCAAGTTGACTAGCAGTTATTCTGGGCAGGAAGAACTCGGTACAACCACGCTGTCAGGCACTAGGCAAATTCACTACCTAGCAACCTGCTCTGAACACCGCTTCTCCAGTAGAGATGCTTTTTCCATATGGTGCTCGGTGAACCACAAGCCTGCACTACAGGTATCAGAACTCAAGACAGCTCTGCACTCAGCTTTCTGCTGCACAGATAAACGTTATTGCAACAAATGACTGTGCTACCTAAACAAAGTCAGCAAGTACAGCTTTGCAGTAGCTTTGTTGAACTCAACCCCGAGTCAAGCCACAGATTTAATTAGCTAAATACAGAAGCAAAATGAAATTTGCCTTTTAATTTTATTAAGGAGAGGAGATTGAGTAGAAGCTTAGCATGGTTTATGTTTGAACACAGCCCAACAACCCCTCTCAGAGGGACTGAGCAGCCTTAAAGAAAAGGGGTCTGACGCTTCTTGATGAAGATCCAGAGACACTGAGCATCTCTGGACATACTGTACCTTATTATCATTTCCTCCGGAGGCCAGGAGCTGGTGGTCTGTAGACCATTTGAGCCCACAGACCTCCTGCCTGTGGCCCTGGAGCCGCCGCTCGGACTGCAAGGGCGGGGTGCGGATGTCCCGCTGAAGGATCATCCTGTCACGACTCCCAGAAGACAGCTGGTCTGCATTCCACGCCAAGGCCCCTGTAACGCAGGGAGAGCATGAGAGTACACTGTGGGAGCCTGCAGAGGCAGGCAGACAGGACAGACACCACCCTGCCAAGGTTTAAAAATAAAAAGAGCTAAAAAATCAGTGCGTATGGACCTGCCTTACGCCCACTCTCCAAAGTCCCAGAATAGTGTGCAAAGATTAACCTGCACAGATTTACTGAAGGCATCACTAATCCCATTTCACAGTAAAGCACAGAAACACAACTCTGAATGTGCTGTTACTTCCCAAATCTCACTCCGGCATTCAGATTCAAAACGCCTCCACGCAAAGAAAAGAGAAGTTCCTGCAGAATAGGGGAACTGGAAATCTCAGAGCGAAGCAGCCTGCCTGCAGGGCTGAAACCGGAAGCCAGTGGCAGTGAAAAAAGATGTAACCAAACTCAAAATGCCTCAGACATGGGGGAAACACCTGATGCAATACTCAAACGCCACCACACCCAAGATCAGAACACTGCAATTACTAGATGATAACGTTTTGCAGACTGCTCAAGACATAGCAGGGGATAAATATAACTTCTGGTACATTGAGTTCTGCTATTTCAAGCAGATCCCTCACAAGAAAAAGGTTCACTCATGAAGAAACAAAGCCTGTGAAACCTCTGAGTCCCCCCTCCTTACCGACTCTGGCTGTGTGCCCCTCTAGCATGGACAGCTTTTTTCCAGCAGCTGCATCCCAGATCTGCACAAAGCCCTTGTGAGTGCCAACGGCTACCAAGTTCCCCTACACAAACAGAAAACCATGATCAGTAAAGTCAGGAAGTAAAGACGGACATAAACCAAGAGCTAGAAGCTAAGAAGACTTGAGATAAATCCCACAAGACTGAAAACATCCAGAGTTTTTCCATCTTTGCCCTGCTGAGAAGGCCAAGGAGCCTGGCTGTAATATGTTTACTGTAACATTTTCTTGTCATGAGCTGGAGAAGTGAACTGGCTTTCTTCCTCCCACACCTCGAGAGCCTCAAGATACAAGAGGTTGTTCTCTATCCCCTCTCGTTTAGCAGAGAAAAATACTGCAGACAGGAACACACACTGGAGTTGTGGTGCACACAGGGAATTTGGGGAAATATAGGAAAATAACCCAGGAAGTTTAAACCCGTGAGGAAGAGTTACACGGCTGCAGTGGTAGTGCGTAAGTTAGGAGTGTTTCAGTTGTCACTGCTGACAACGTGATACTGACCCGTTCGGACCAGCCCACTGATGTTACAGAATCTCCTTCCACAGAGAGGTCACACAGCCGGGTTACCTTGAAAGTAGGACAGAAGGGAGTAAAACACTTGTTACTGTCATGCTATACTATTCACCCCCTCACAAACCAGTACCTAGCTTGGGAGCAGGCAGTACAGGTGCTGCATATCCCAGCACATTCCACAGTTCTGAAAGACACTATGGCTGGAGTCTCTGAGGAGACTTATAGCACCTTCCAGTACCTGAAGGGGCTACAAGGAAGCTGTGGGGGGACTTTTTACAGGGGCCTGTAGTGACAGGACAAGGGGTAATGGGTTTAAATTGAAAGTGGGGAGGTTTAGATTGGATATCAGGAAGTTCTTCACAGAGAGGCTGTTGAGGCACTGCGACAAGTTACCCAGAGAAGCTGTGGATGCCCCATCCCTGGAAGTGTCCAAGGCCAGGCTGGATGAGGCTTGGAGCAACCTGGCCTAGTGGAAGGTGTCCCTGCCCATGGCAGTGGGTTGGAACTAGATGATCTTTAAGGTTCCTTCCAATCCAAACCAGTCTGTGATTCTGATTCTATGGAAGAGACCTACAGCGACAGGGACTTCACTCTCAAGACACTGATGATCACTTACCTGGCTGGTACAAGCACTCCAGAGGTAAACACAAGTCCCAAGGCCAACGCTGAGGACATTAAGAGAGGACCAGTCCACTAGGTTCAGGTAGAAGTCGTCCTGCAGCTCTGGGGCATCCAGTACTTTGAAGGGAATCTTTGAGATTTTCCGAGTTGGTTTTCTAGGTGATCTTAGTAGCTTCTGACTGTTCACAAAAACAGAATCACGGAATAGTAGAGTTGATCTCAAACATCTTTTCCAAACAGAACAAGTCCAACCATCAACCTAGCACTGCCAAGTCTACCCTAAACCATGTCCCTAAGTACTACATCAATTCACCTCTTAAATACCTCACAGGATGGCAACTCCAGCGCCTCCCTGAGCAGCCTCTAACAATGCTTGACAACCCTTTCAGTGAAGAAGTTGTTCCTAATATCCAATCTGCCCCTCCCCTGGCAGAGCGTGAGGCTATTTCCTCTTGTCCCGTTGCTTGTTGCTTGGGAGAAGAGGCCAACCCCCCCTCTGCACCCTCCTTTCAGGGAGCTGTAGAGAACGATAAGGTCTCCCCTGAGCCTCCTCTTCCCCAGGCTGAACACCGCCAGCTCCCTCAGCTGCTCCACACAGGAATTCTGCTCCAGACCCTTCCCCAGCTCTGTTGCTCTTCTCTGGACATGATCCAGCACCTCAGTGTCTTTCTTGCAAAACTGAACTCAGGATTTGAGGTGTGACCTCACCAGTGCCCAGTACAGGGGACACTCCCTTCCCTAGTCCTGCTGGCCACACTGTTCCTGATGCAGCCCAGGATGCTGTTGGCCTGCTTGGCCACCTGGGCACACACTGGCTCAGATTCAGCAGCTGTCAACCAGCACCCCCAGGTTCTTTCTTTTCCTCTGAGCAGCTTTCCATGCACTTGTCCCCAAACATGGAGCATTGCAGGGGATTGTTGTGACCCAAGTGCAGGACCCAGCACTTGGCCTTGTTCAACCTCATACAGTGGCCTCGGCCCATCGGTCCAGCCTGATATAAAACCAGCTACAGGACCTTACATGTCACAGCAGGTGGTAGATGCTGATGTAGCCACTCTTCAAAGGTCACTTGCATCTCTACAGAAATGCACAAAGAGACTGCAAAATTGTTTCCAGCAGGTAAGACTGGAAGGAATTGGGTTCTGCTTCTATAAAGGAGCTAGGGAGCAACAGGATGGACAGACTACTGAAAGTTGGCAAAAATATTAAGTATCTAGGCAGGTTGGGCACCCACAGAAATTCTTAGAACTTGACTGTCCCTACCAGAACCAATTCACACAGCAATTTGGGGTGCCTTAGAAGCCCTAGAGAACTTCATTGAATCCTCTGCCCCAACCTTTCCCTTCTGTCTGTCTGTGGAGAATCAGTATTACCTTTTGTTGCTGACAGGAGACAGGGAATACGGTGACACCTCGTTGCCATCATCTGGACTAGAGCGTTTTGTGCTGAGCGAATACTGCGTAAAGACAGACACATTAAGAATCCCAGCATGCCCAAGACCTAGGGGATCACTCACAACACACACTGGTGCCCAATGCCTGGCTAACTCCAACACCCAGTTAGATTTTCTAGACTTTTCATTTCCTCTTTCCCAGGTGCTCCAGAACCATACAAAAAACTCATCTCCACTGAAGTCCAAAAGCATGATCTGGTCACTTGCCACACCTCCAGAAAAGCTTGGTTCCAACTCAGCTCCCCTGCTGATACAGAAATAGGAAGTACGTAGCTTGCTGCAGATACATTCTCTTTACAGGCCACCAAATTTTGCTATCAACAGCCTATCTTAGTCAAGCTACGACACTAACTCACTTGCTCCAGCAACTCAGAATGGTGTATCACGTCCTGTGACACATGTGCAACGTTCATTGGTTTTAATGCAAAATGACCAACTTACAGTGAAAAGAGACTTCTTCTCCGGGGTGGATGGCTGCAGCCTCCTGTCTTCTGTCTGTGGGTCTTGCACTTTCTCAATCCCTGCTCCCAAGAGTTCATTCTTCAGCAAGGCAGAGTAAGCAAGGCCATCTGTGAACCCAAATGAGCACTTAGGCACAGAGCTTGGAAGCAGCAAACAGCTCTGGCAGGATCATGTCTGCCTGACTTGTACATTCACAGGGCTTCTTAATAAGCCTGGGACCCCAGTTTGGAATCAAGAGCAGCAGCAAGCTTCCCCTCCTTCCACTTCACCAGGAAGTGCTTCCATAGCACAATAAATCAAGGGATGTGAATAGCCCCTTGCGTCCCAGACTCTCATCAGAACCCTACTGAGGTGACCTGGTATTAACTCTCGTGATGTGGGCATTTCCTAAAGCACCAGCATGTGTTTTTGTCTAAGCACAAAAGTGCCAGTGTGCCCTTTGTTTCCAAGCTCGCCAACAGTTTGAAATAAAAGCTGTATGCATGGCACAAGTGGCAGAAAGGTGGTCTCACCTTTGCCATTGTCTGATGTAGCATCCTTTGCTTTTCTATTTTGACTTGGTGATTTTTCATTTTCCTGAAAGACAGAAGCATGCTATCAGCATAAAGAAACCTCATCATAGGGGGTAAAATAACAAACAAAAGTCTGCTGGACCACAGGGGAAGCCTGTGGAAGACATGCATTCAAAGGAAATCTTTTGGGGCAGCAGCAGACCACAGTGCAGAAGATAAGCAGAGCAACTATGCCAGCCAAAACAAAATACACTTTTTCCTCAGTCCCAAGGCTGAGTGCAGGGGAGGGTACCAAAACTTACATTTATCCTGTGGAAGTTGATGCTCCAATTGGCCCCAGCTCTGGAAGGAATAAACCTGTCACCATGCTTACTCGGAGAAGACATTGGAGAATTTGAAGGCGTCAGGGTTCTTCTCATCTCTGCTACCTGAAAGAATAAAACACACACACCAGAACAAGTTGAGATCACAGCAGGATTCTAAAAAACATCAATAAGGTCTTGCCAAAGCTGGATATGCCTCAGTAAAACAGCCAAGCATTAGTTTATTCCCATAACAAAACTAGTAAGCACAGAGTCCAACTGTCATGGGAGCGTCTGTCAAAAGAAGCAACTGAATAGCCTCTTTCTCAATGCCCTTCTCCAGCTGCTGTGTTCTCAAGGCAAACACGTGGAAGGCTGGAGCAGGTCAGCCTGCTTGCAAGATGAGTAGCAGATTCTTCAACTGCAGTTACATCCTTTTTAAGGAACCTGCTTAAAGCCTTAGGTTTGCTTCAAAGAGGTTCCATATCCTTCAAAAGCTCAAGAAAGACAATAGCTTAATAGTCAGACTACACAGCATAGCTCATTTGTACTTACACAAGGCATTGTGTTTTCATTCTGTATGTTGATTTGACGTAGGAGACGTCTCTCATAATCCTGGTCCATGGTGGAAGGAAGGCATTTCAGCAGGCCCAGGAATTTATGTTCATGAAGTCAAATCAGTAATTAGTCTGATGCAACACACAGGGGAAGAAAGACACCAAAATATTATAGCCCTTCATATAAAAGCAGCCTCCTCAGACTCTCCTAAGCCTATTCTTTAGAATTTCAGACCACTTTTCCTATCCACAGCATTGGTATCAATCTTGTGTGATGCAGCACAGGGCTGCCAATGATAGGTTTCTGCGTTACTGCCCTTGGTCATTGATCCACACAAGCAGGCAGCCTGACGGACCTCGGCAGGCAACCATCCCAACTGGAGCAGAGCCTTCAGTACAGGAAACCATGTTCACATGAACTGCAGCAGCACGGTTTGGCAAGCCAGCGACGCTCAAGCATGGAAACCAGACACCTACAACTGACCTTCCCTCAAGCCAGACCCATACGTCAGGCCAGAGGCACCAGCAACACACACCACTGCACTGAAGCTAGCTGGGATGCTTTCAGCCATGTCGGAAGCATTGTAGACTTATTACCACATGCTGCAGGAACACGGGCAGCTATGGACTGGGCAGTCCCCTGGGTTAACATTCAATGCCTGATGCCCATGCTGTCCCAAATACTCCTCTTGGCTAGCATAAGACTAGCTCATGACGGCTCTACAGGCTGTAAGCAATGCTAAGCATCTTTCAAGCATATGTTTTAGGATAGGGCTGCTTCATAGCTTAGATCTGGCTGGCTAAATTACAACAGACATGATTAACAAGAAATTATCATAGAATCGTAGAATGGTTTGGGTTGGAAGGGACCTTAAAGATCATCTAGTTCCAACCCCCCTGCCATGGGCAGGGACACTTTCCACTAGACCAGGCTGCTCCAAGCTTCATCCAGCCTGGCCTTGGACACATCCAGGGAGGGAGCATCCACAGCTTCTCTGGGCAACCTGTCCCAGTGCCTCCCCACCCTCTCTGTGAAGAACTTCTTCCTGATATCTAATCTAAACCTCCCCACTTTCAATTTAAACCTGTTACCCCTCTTCCTGTCACTACAGGCCCTTGTAAAAAGTCCCTCCCAGCTTCCTTGTAGCCCCTTCAGGTACTGGAAGGTGCTATAAGGTCTCCCCGGAGCCGTCGCTTCTCCAGGCTGAACAAGCCCAACTCTCTCAGCCTGTCCCCACAGCAGAGGTCCTCCAGCCCTCTGATCGTGAGCTAACACTTCTGTGAGGACATGTAGTCACAGCCCTTCTCCAAGCTCTGAAGGGCACAGACCAGCATCGCTAGTGCCCAGCTTCCTCAGCTTGCACACATGCGTCGTCCACAGCTCACAATGACACAAAAATGCCAACACCAGAAGAGACATGCCAAGTTGGTCTTTCAACCCAAGATAAACATCTCTACAGGGAAAGGCAGCACCTAACGCACACGCCACACAAAAATCCCCACAGTACACAGGCATGTGGAAGCTGTACAGAACATAAAGGGATTTTCATGTGCTGCTACTGTATAAACATTTACAGCACCTGGCTGAAGTCCAGCTACACAAATGGCATTGCCCCAAGACACAGGCTTTGTGGCAAAGTCCCGGAGGCAGCTGTACACAAATGGCTGCGCAGGGAGAAAACTGTCCAGGGACAAGCTGCACTGCCACGCTCAGGGCCTGCCACGAACTGCCTTTGGCTCCACCAGCGGATTTCTGGGAAAAGGTTTGCCTCCAGGAGCAGAAAAGCTACTCAGGCTTACCACTGAAAACGGGAGGCAAGTTACCAAGCTAAGAGGGGTACACCAGCACCTGATGTAATGCAGTGAGATGTGATTACATTACTCTATGAAATTAGCTTGGAAGCAAGATAAGCACATGAATTCTGGACTAGTCATCTGTTAGCCACCACAGCTACTTCCCTTTTATCTAAGCCATTTGCTAGCACTGAAACTTGGACTTACAACAAATGCTGAAATGCAGAGGCCTTTTCTTCCTTGCCATTAAGCATTTTTACAGGACACTTACAGAAGCATCCCCGAAATAGATAGTGCCAGGCTGGTTCCAAGTACACCTGCTTACCTCTGTCACCTCCTCCTGCCCGATTTTTTCTTTTTTTTTTTTTAATTTAATACATTTCTCCCATATGTTCTTTCAGAGGCAAAACTGAAGAAAGGTGCCAAATCTAACAGCAGTCAGCTTCCACCAAATGAAGAGTCAGAGATGGCATCATTGTGAGTGAAAAGTCAGAAACAATTCTTGAAGGAGGTTAAAAAAAGTGCATGCCATGTCAAACACACTCCCTAGTTTTGCAGTTTACTTACCATTGTCCTTACCTACCCATGATCTTCCAAAGTCTGCCTTAGAGGTTAACAGAACCTCTCAAACCAGACATTTTGACAAAATGCTCCACACTCCCCCCCCCCTTCTTTTTTACCACCATAAATAAAAGATGAGCTTGCAGAACCCACACGAGGAGTGTGACTGAGACGGGGAACACCACACACTGGAAGTGTCTTATCAAAATGGCTCAGCATGGTATGCATGAAAAATCTAGATCCAGTTACATAGCAATGTGACTTTCTTTTTTTATCCTGGGTATGAAACATTCCCTCTTAGAGTTTTCCTTTGAGTTCCACCCATATGAATTTTGACTACAACTTCTAACACAGCACACAGTGAACAACAGAAGAGACAAAGGTAGAACATCACAATAAACTAGCAAGCCTCCCCAGACATTATCAGGCTTCAGATGCTTCAAAATAAAGCATCAACATAATACTAATCGTATTAGAATTACCAAGACATCCTCTACCCCCTTCGGCCCTGCCCAAATCTGGAAATACATTCAGTTTTTACATTTAAAAGCCCTCCTGCCTTTGGTATTCTCAGAATCTCTCAGTTTCACCAGCATCTCTCATGTTTAACACTTACCCACCCAATTACCTTCCAGTTTTATGAAGGGCACAAACAATTTCTGAAACAAAAAAGGGTCAGGGATTGCCCCACTCTTGCACTCCTTCAGTAGGCCACATCTTGAAATGACAAAGCCAACAGAGGAAGGGTTGTTATGCCAGCTTGCTGAAAAATCCAAGGAGGTACAGGCCACCTCTCAATGGCAGAGAAACAATTTCACAAAATAGCCGAATTAATTTCCCCGCCAACCCTAGCATTCTGCACGCTGGCTTATTACAGAGATCCCTACCAAGGAAAAAGAAAAAAAAAAACATTTGAATACATTATGGTTGGATCAGTGTAAAGAACAAAACACACTTGTTCAGCACCAAAACTTTGCCTAGAAGTATTGTTCAGAAAGTAATGTGACCTGTGATAAAATCCAGCCAATTCAAAGGTGCATGAAGAGAGTCAGTCAGAATACAAATTCTTCCCTAGGAATCAAAAAAAGTTCCACCAAACCCCACCTTACTTCTCCAAGCATGAAATACACAGAGAATATCAAAATAGTACCCAAAAAGAACATTAACACATAGCTCCTCAAGATCTTTTATTCCTTTAATTAAAAGAGAACTTATAGTCCACATACTCCCAGTCCTTATAGCAAAGCCCTTCTTACTTGCTTCAGGGGAAATGGAAAACCCATCCACTCACCACAGCCATATTGAGAGTTTAGCAAGAGTCTTCCAAAAACCAGAGATGCTACCTTCTCTTTGGGCCTTAACAGCACAGGTTTTGAGGTAAAGACATGCCATTATTCAGGTGCTGGGTATTCACAAGCTCTCAAGAACCACCCCATAATTTACTAAAGGGTAAAGGATGGAGTAAATAAGTACTTAGTCCTCTAAGTCGTGAGCAGCAGGATTTCAAATCAAAACCAGACGTCCTGCTTCCCCAAAGACAAAGTTTCCACCTTCCAATTACTTATCTAAAATCCTTTATCAGGCAACACTTGTAAATTAACAAGTTAAAGACCTCAGCTGCCAACAGAAATGGCAAGCCATCTCATCCTGCACCTCCTTTGTGCCAGCTCCGGCCCTCACTCAACCATGCCGCACGCTGGCTGGGCTCAGCACTCACTTGGCCCCAAAGGGAGCCCTTTTCTGCCAGTTCATTTCCACCACAGCATAGTACAGTTATGGATTCTTCTACTTCCCAGACTTTTGAACAAGCTGTAAGGGGGGAAAAAAAGCCAAAGCGTAGCATTTTTGCTGTGTAATAGTCAAGCCTATTACAGTGACACCAGAATGCTAAAGCCAACTTCACAGCACTAAAGCAGACAGCACCAAAGAGCAAGGTACTCTGTGCTTGGCCAACCCAAAGTACAGCTTGTCCACATTTAACCCAGAGGAACAGAGTTTACATTTTTTGCCCAACAACCGATCCTTTTAAGTAAGTAGCCTCCTTTCAAGGACAGTAGTAGTAGTACAAAAAGCTAGACCCTTGTGTAGGTTTTACAGATACAAGTACACAACTTCTTATCCAGCAATTTACTAAGGTATTAGTGTGAAAAGCAGTTATAAAATGAACCATTTACAAAAGTAACCCTTATAGAATAGAAACAGGTGAAGCTTTATTTCAAACAAAACAAACGTCATTGCCTTGCACTTGTCAGAGAAGACAGTTCCTGATTAGGTGCTGCGCAGGGAGCACACAGCCAGCCATGACACAATTACTTCAGTGTTACGGTGCCAGATGAGATTCTGCACCCTTGAGCCTCAATCTTGAAGGCTGCAGAGAGATTCCATATTCCATCAGTAAACCAAGGCGCTGTATTACTGCACAAACCATGTTGGATCAGTGGATTTCAGAGTGTAATACATAGGTGACTGCTCTTCACCTAAGGTCCTGGAAAAATCCACTTTCATTCTGCCTTTCCAAAGCACCCTGCAGACAAACACCTCCTGCCCAGGGAGCTCACAAACCTCTTCATTGGCTCTAGAATGCCTCTATTTCGAAGCCTTTAGGTGACCAGCAATAGGAGCAAACCAAATTCAAGTTTGATTGGAAAGGCTTGAAGGCAGAGCCAGGCCATCGTTTTCATCTCCTGTCTGCACTCAGCCTTCCACTCTGTGATGGGAGCATAGAAGCTCAAGATGTTGCAATTCCATACTGAGCTCAGGAGCCAAGTGGTATGCACAAA